CCCCCCCCCTATTTTTCCTTGTAGATGGAACATGCATTGAAATTATATTTTGAGTTTTAATGCAGGAGATGCTTAGGAAATTAAAAATTGGTTTTGTTTTGCAAGACAAAAATTTGAACATAGAAACAGTTTTAAATAACCAACAATATTATTTGTATTAAGTCCTATTTAGTACAGAAATGATAGAAATACCTGCGTTGTTACTTTTGTTTTTCTTCATTTTTGGTGCATAGCGTATAAAGTGGGGTAATAAAATATTGGTAGTGCCCTTGTTTATATCATTCTATGTATTTGCTTTACAATCAATCCAGGAAAAAAAGACTATATATGCTCTTTCCAGTGTCACTATTCTCTAAATGAGTGTTGAGCTGTAGTAAAGTCTAAAATATTCAGTGTTAAAGATACTTTCCCAAAGTATGATATATGTATGTCATATTTATTTGATTATAATAATGTATAGGCTGCCTTATTCCCCACACTATGCAAAATATTTGGCTTCTGGACTTAAGCAGTAAACTGCTGTCAGTCCTGGATTTCATTTCATTTCTTATCAAAACTTGAAGAAATTCATGATTGAGTAAATGGGGGTGAGCCACATTTTTACAGTCTGTGCTTAATGAGTGAAATGCTCAGTTTTTCTTCCTTCAATATTTAATCTTTCAAAACGGCAGTGTTGCTAGCTGCCACCATATGGAACTGCGGTAATATGCTTGTCTTTCAGCTCTTTAATTTCTGAATCTTTCTTTTCGCACAGACTTGCTTTTGATTTTTTTTTTTTAAGATCAGTAATATTTCAGAAGGCAGTGTTGGGTATAAATGACCTTGGCAAACAAAAGCTTCTGTTGAAAGTGCTTCTACGTGGGCAGCTCCAGTTGGATTTGGGCATTATTTACTTTACAAGTTCTCCTTATAAATGTCAATTTACACTGTAGGTGCAGATTAGTCATGTATCTTATAGCAGTCATTGCAGTTACTGCTTGCACTGAAGAAGCATGGCCATGTCAAGATACCCAGGATAAATACAACATACTGTTCCTGCCGATAAATTGCTTTCAGATTCACTAAGGCATTCTTGCTGACTCATCACACAATACATTTAATTAATAGGAAAGCCAATAGTTGCGTGTGTTCACTGTTTCTTTCATATCCATCTTCTGTGGTATCTTTTTTTTTTAGCAAAATTCCTCAGGGGTTCCGTGAAGATGGTCGTTCCTGGGAGCACCACTGTAATTCAGCCAGACCACAGTCTTGGAACTGAATTGGGCCGAAGCTCAGCAGAGAATTCAGTGATGGGTCCTGATGCAGAATCCATGGCTGATCAGGTGGGCCCTGAGCTGGAAGAAGTGAGGAAATTGCAAGAGCTTGTGAGGAGGCTTGAGCTCCAGAATCAGCAGCTGAGAACTAGAAGCCTGCGAAGTGTGCCAGAGGCAAAATTGCTGAGCCAAGCTGATGCTGGAGTGGATAATTGCAATTCCAGGCTCAACGGCATGGAAATGAATAATAGCATCAACGCACTAATGGACAAGCAGGAGTTGCAAATAGTGGCAGACCTGCACTCGGCCCTGAGTAAAATGAGATCAGAAGCAGAGGAAAGCGGCGAGTTCTTAAAAAAGGACGTGGAGACCCCAGGACAGCACAGTTGTGAAAAAAGATCTGACAAAGAGCCTTCCGGGGCAAAGTTTGTGAGCGGTACCCAGATGCAGAACAGCGAGGCCAACACAAACGATGTCTCTCGTTGGGATTGCAACCACACAGTGTTGCTAGAAGATTTCACCAGAGGTGTTGAGCCAGCGTTGCAAATGAAGGAAACAAACACAAACGCGGAAGATCTCTTGAACGAAACAACTCTGGATGAAGTAGAATTGCTGGAGTTAGAGAACGGCAGCGATGAAGAGGACAGCTGGTATGTACTATGAGATTATATACTGTAGCTCTAAAGGATTCATGCTGAGAGGGAATAAGGCTGTAATCATATTTTCTAGAGCAGATTATTATTCTGTTTCTCTTCACTCCACCGCCCCTCAAAAACATCAGTGAACACAGCAGTGTGACAGGAAAATGGACAGTGTGAAAGAAAGGGGATTGATTTGTAAAAAAACAACAACTCTGGTCTAAAATGTTTAAGAGAAACAGAAAGGAAAAAAAGTATGGGAGACCAGGAAGCCTACATTTCTATTTAGAGCGCCAGTTTTCTCATAAGAGATTGCCAAATGGAGTGGAGACTATTGCCAAATATAGTTCCTTAAGGTATTTCTATTAATATTACAGATATTTGCATAATAGTTTATCTGTACACATAGCAAAATGTAAGCTGTAAGGTCACCTTAAGCAACAATTCTTTAACCATTCCTTAAGCTTATTATTCAAGAAATAATTGGATTAGATGAAAGAGAGGACTGGATTATTGGAATTTTTTTTCTGCCAGTGGAAGATGCTTGCTGTAAGTAGGAAGGGGGCTATACTTGAAAAAAAGGAGATGGAGCTGAAGGTTTTTTTAAAAATGATTTTTTTAAAAATAAGCTCTGCTATAGGGATTCACAGTTATAATTAACTGATATGAGATAATTTGGAGGATAAATTGCTTGGACTATTTTTGTGAAAATTGCAAGCATTATATTTACCTAAGTAGTGTACTCTGGATCCTGAAAAGAATTGAAGAGATGTTACATTGTTACTACCCAACCATTGTTTGCTTTACACAAATGTTACGTTGTGTAATTCGTTATTTCCTTAGCAAAACAATTATGTACAGGTACTCAATGACTTACAACAGTTCATTTAGTGACCATTCAAAGTTACAATGGCACTGAAAAAAGCGACTAATGACCGGTTTTCATATTTGTGACTGTTGCAGCATCCCCATGATCACGTGATCAAAATTCACATGCTTGGCAACTGACTTGTACTTATGACGGTCACAGTGTCCTGGGATCATGTCATTACCTTTTGTAACCTTCTGACAAGGAAAGTCAATACTGTGTTACTAACTTAACCACAATGATTCACTTAACAACTGTGGCAAGCAAGGTCATAAAATGGAGCAAAACTCAATTAACAAATGTCTCATTTAACAACATAAATGTTGGGCTCAATTGTGGTCGTAAGTCGAGGACTACCTGTATGTGAGAAAATGAAACAGACTTATGAGAAAGTAGAGTATGATGGATGATTTCATTATTTGGATGAATAATGAAATTTGGATCCATCTTAAAAATGGAAGTAATTTTGTCTGACCCCCCCCCCAAATAGTTAAGAAAGGGAAAAATACTTATTACATTGCTTTCTTTGCTGTGACGTTAGACTTTTGTTGATAAAATACTAATGGAAGCATAGAGATACTGAAATAGTTGCTTCAATCAAGCTGTCAGGTTAAACTTTTTACCTTTCCACTTCAGGCTGTATATCTCTCCAAGAAACCCACCAACAGATAAGAAGGAATCTCCCCTGAAATGGTGTAGACAGGTATTGGATCACCCTAGTCCTGAGACTGAGGCAGCTTGCCGTACCCTCATCAGCAGACTTGACCAAGGTAGGCCTATGAATGGTCTTGAGAGAGCCCTTAATTGACCACTGAGGGAGCTAGTAGATTGATTTGTTAGTGTTGCACTTTTAAAGAGCTTGGCATAATGGAGAAGACTTGAGAAAAATGAATTGGATCATAAGATCAGTAATAACACCTTGAAATTGGGACCTTGAAATTTGGTTTTGCATTTGCTTGATGCAGTTCAAACCCAGTTACATTAAGCCTAGTGCTTATGTGGGACATCCCTGAGCTAATCACGGTTATGATTATTAGATTTATATCCTGCCTTTATTTTGTACAACTCAAGATAGCCTATATTATGTTCCTACCTCCTGTTTCCCCCCCTGACAACATCTCTGTGAGATGGATTCTGTTGTGACTAGCCCCAAATCACAGAACCAGCTTTTATGCCTGCTTCTAAATTTGCCCTAAGTTAGAAAACTTATGTGATCCTTTGGACTAGAAGACCTAGCTGGAGACTGTCCTCTGCCCTCAGAGGATATTAAGACATCTTGGGATAATCTTTTAAGATATATATTTTGCAAACCTTAAAGGAAATACTTTTCTTTCGAATGTTTTTAATGTTGTACTGTTTCGTTTCAAATAGTCCTTTTTTTCCAAAATGTAACTTATTATGTTTTGGTGACATACAGACATATAAACATTCACTAGTTGGCACATGGCATTTCAAAATATAAAAGTTTATTTTAATGCAGACACCTAACACATCCAGTATTGTAAGTTGCTGCCCTCTGAGTTTCTTGCTACGGTGAAAAATGTTAATAATATAGTAAACCGAAGAATAGTTTTGGAGAGATTTTGCTTGAAAACTTGATTTTGTCATTTGGAATCACATTAGATTCTCAGGGAAACAGAAACATTCTGCTAGCTAAATACTCTTATTTTTTTTTCCAAAGTGTGTGAAGTTGAACATTGTAACAACGTAAACACATTAGCAGGTTTGTCAACAAATTAAACTTGTCAACTCCTCCTAGAATATGAGGACAATGTAGCTCAGAATAAAATGATTTTTTTTCCTAAATAATGCCACTCCTTTTTGAATTTTCAGCCCTAGATAATGATGGGAAATCTTTATTTGGTTTTAATAGTTCTGTGCCAAGTTTTTTGTTGTTCTTGATGCTACAGTTTCACAGCTCCATCATACCTAGCCAAACTTCTAAAAAAACCTAAACGAAATTAAATTGCTTTAAAGAAGCATTTTGAGAAATGGGCCCAGAATAGTTTTCCCACTAGATACTATTTTCATTAGATCACACTACCTGTATCTGTCCTTGATAACTCCAGAAACCTGATTCATGTTGAAATTTTTTGACACATAGTATTAGTATCTCTAAGATTGTCCAACTGGGAAACTTACATCTTATGTACATCCACATTCTAGGATGAGAGATGGCAAACTATGCATTTCTTCACTGAGAGAGAAATGCCATAATATTGGATATCTTCTCATCTAGCCTGTCTGTTATTTTTGGAAACTCTGGAGAAGAACCACGGCTCATCTTTCAGAGTTCACTTTAGCACTACAAACCGACTCAAGTATGTCCAAGGTGAACACTGTAAATTCACACAACAGCATATATCTATTAGTCTGACACCTGCAAGTCCCAGATGTTAAGACAGGAAGAGAATTAGCCCATGGAGAACTAAGGATTGTCTTCATTTGCTTTAATTCCAGAGATTAATCTGTCAGCCATAATTGGAAATTGAATTTATTGGTTTGTATCATGACTGGGGTGAGTGTGTCTGGCATGTAATGCATGCAGATGTGGTTTGACTTCTCTCTCTCTTTCTCTCCTCACCTGAGTATCTGTGTTTAATGTAACAATTCATGGCTTTTTTGTATCTTCCTTTAGCCAGTAGGTGGAAATCCCTGTATTGCAGTCCATTGGCGTCTCCAAGTGTGCATAACTTGAATACAGACTCAGGGTCCTGTAGCAATGCACTAAACTCTCCTGGGCACTACAAATCAACTAACAAACCACTACTAACTTGCGGTAGCTCAGGTATGGCATGGCATCTGGGATACTTTCAGAGGAATGGACATGGGAAATGCATGCAGAGGGGAGGACAAGGTTGCTTTGGACAGTTTAATGTGATGATTCTAAGGGCTTCTTCCCCTAATAAGCTTCTTATTTAAATCGTCTTGCTTCTTTGTGCTAATTTGGTTTTTTTTTTTAAAAAAAGGTCTGTTATTTTTGTGATAAAAGACCATTGTCTGGCCCATATCCTTCGGGCCCAGGGCATTTGATTATCCCTTAGGACAGTGATGGCGAACCTTTTAGAGACCGAGTGCCCAAAAACTGGCCCCGCCCCTGCTCCACTCCCTGCCCCGCCCCTGCTCCGCTCCCCCATCTCCCGCCCCCCCTGCCCGCAGGGCCACTCACTGCCTCCAGGGCCCGCCGCAGATCACACAGGCAGCCCAGCAGCGCCATGGCGGTCACGCCCTCTTTCCGCGCCCTGCAGCATCAACTGTGCATGATGGGATGTGAGGGCAGAGTCTTGTCCACGCTGCCTGGCTGCCATATCCTTGGCTGCGCTGGTCCAGGTGGGCCACGCTCAGGGGCGACTCTCCTTCAGGGGGGCTGCTGGAGAGGAGGGGGTCGCGGGGGGAGGCGAGGCTGGGGCAACGGCACGTGTGCCCACAGAGAGGGCTCCGAGTGCCGCCTCTGGCACCCGTGCCATAGGTTCGCCACCACTGCCTTAGGAAAATGGAGAGTCCTCTTTAGCATGGCATTCTTACGTCGCTTTATGTGTGTGAAAATGTTTTAACTTGCATTTATATATCTTCTCCCATGGTTGGTGAGAATTAGCTTATAGTCCTAAGTCTACAATAAATAGACCTACACATTTTTTTTTGTCTGCTTTGTCTGAAGTTTCCCAAAAGGTGGAATGACCAGCATGCTGTGGAGACAGAATCTGAAACCGCTTGGAAAGCTCAGCTAGTTCACGTTGCTGTGCAGAAAGTTGATTTGCATTTAGAACCAGCGTTTAAAAGCCAATCACTTATTGCATGCTTAATTTTTTTAAAATAAGGACAAATGAAATACCATTTCCTAAATATTTCTTTGACATTTGGGGCGGAGAAGAGAAAACCTATTAAGATTAAATTACTGACATCTTAAATTCTAATGAAAGACAATACTGAAATGCCTTTTTCAAGTGGAGGCTATAACACTAACGTCTGGATTATTTTTGTCTTTTATTGCTGGAATACCTAATAATCCTTTCCTCTTACCTTTCAGTCACAGAAACTGTACCCAGTTTATCTTTGCAGCCAATTCGGTGTTTTAACTTCCCTAAAGACAGAGCAAATAGCAATTCAGAAATTACATTCTAAATGTTCTTTTTATTTAGACCGATTATTTGAGAATTATGTAACAATCCTTTCAGAGCAACGAGTGAACTTAAAAATATCATTTTTCATATTTAGTACATTAGTGAATTATATAGTATTCTCAAACTGCAGCTAATGAGAACACTACATGTAGCGACTGCCTACATACCAGGCAGCTTTTAATTGGATGCTTTTGCTTTGCAAGCCTGAAATTTGACATCTCTTTCCTTTGCAGACCTTTATCATGATTTTGATCTCAGTCATGTGAAAATTATTTTTTTGCTGAACTGGAAAGTCTCCTTCCACTTGATGGAGCCACCAATGAAATGAATCAATTAGGGAACAGGGGAAAAAAAATCCTTAGCGACTTTGCTTTCAGATCTTATATTTTGCTGCCAACTAAATCAGTGCATTTTCAGATACTGTACAGCAAACCTGGCTGGGGGATTCTGGGAGCTGAAGTCCACAAGTCTTTTTTTTTTTTTTCAATATAAAATTTTTATTATTTTTCATCATAGAAAAAAACATCACAAA